GATGAGTGTATGTACATAGATCGAGTATGCAAAAATGTCACAACTGTCACTTTAAGCATTTGTAAGAAACAACAACAAACATAATGCAGCCGTCATTAAAGCATTCTGCACAGCAATGCGACATTTCCAACACTACCACATTAAGTACATTGTTTGTTTTGCTGCTGAAGTAACGTATCGTTGTTGGTTCATTTCATTGTTCATTGATTTGCTTTGATTTATTATTTCTGGAAGCGAAAAATAACCCTCCACTTCTTATTACAACTCCTTGAGAACAATCAACGTCTTTGCTATAATCATCATTATGTTATGAGTTTATTAAAAAACGCAAAAAAAGAAGAAAAAAAACCACAAAACAAAACATACATCATTGAAGACTTACCATAATAGCTACATATATATGCAGAGTATCACGTGTGTGGTTAAGCAATTTAAAAAAAAAAAAAAAAAAATCTAAAAAACGTTATATGAATTTTGTTTTTTTTTTTTCCATTTCGCAATTGCAGCTGACGCGTGCGTAAGCAACAAAAGTGAACAAATTACTTGCTTTGCTTTTAGTGAAATACGCAGAAATCGACGCAGGGGCTTTTTTTGGACAAAGAGGTTCTTGTGTTCAAAATATTGAAAAGACATGTGGCCAACACGGGTTTAATATGCTCTTTCGCAAATCGGAAAACAAATAAGCAATTTTAAATCGCCACAAATTTTGTGTTTTTTTTTTTTTTTTTTTTTTTTAAATTATATTTAAAACATTAGCTATAGGAAGCTGAGCAATCAACACAAACACAATGAATGTGTGGAAGGAATTGCATTTAAAAAAAAGAAAAAAACATTCATCTGTTAGTTGTATACGCGACAAATAAACTTATTCTTACATCTTATGCCCACTATCCTAATGACATTTTCCCTTCTATATATATATATATATATATATATAAGTAAAACACTTGACTGGTTTTCTTTTTTCTCTTTTTTTCAATTCAAAACCTTTTTTTAATTACGAGTGCACATATTTTATCGCTCCGCAGTAAAATCAAAAAGATGAAGAAGAAGAAATGTTTTGTTTATTTTTGTTTTCCTTAGTATATGCGGCGAGCACATATCTTCGTGATATATTCGTCTAATGAAGGTAGATAGCTCCGTGTTTGATCTTTTAACTATATGTGAACTTAAAATTTATCGAAGCATCTGCACGGAACCCACCCACCCCCTTCCACCTACCCGCGGTCTCCTTCTCCAAACCCTCTCATCTCACAGACTTATATCGGTTTTTGGTTACTCGTTTCATTTCTCATCTTTTTTTGTTTTCTCTGAGTTATCATTTTAAAAGTGTGCCCAGTCCCTGCTCTGTGGCGACAAAAGTACACACGTTGCAGACAAAAGAAAAAAAAAACAAGCTGAAACCTACACAAGCATTAAATAAAATCCACCCGCATTTTAGTTAATTAACTCATTTGGATTCTCTTCGGTTGATTTTGTAAAGTTTTTTAGTCAAAAATGTTAAAAAAGATATAAAGCCTTTTACAAGAAAAAAAGACCAAAAAACCTAAGAAATACATATATATATATATATATATATATATTTGTATTAACATTAATTGATTTGTTAGAGAACGTGAGCCAAATAAACCCTTTGCCAACCAATATTTCAAGGGTATTGAATGGAAAATACCACAAGCGAAAACCGCAAATATTTTTAAAAGATAAAAAGAGATAATTTGTTGATTTCGCAATACAAAGCTTTAAGCTCTAACAAGCTTTAAATAATATGCTTTTCAACAATGACGTTTGATTTATTATTTAAAATTTTTGCTTTCGTTTTAATTTTTTTTTTATTTAGTTAATTTTTTATTTTTTTATTTATTTTTATTTATTTTTTTTTTTGTAAGTCCTTTCGGCATAATCCTCCAAAGACCAGTCAGTCAGTTTGTACGTCTTTTACCATCTTTAACCATTTGTCCTTTATCGTTTCCCTAATAGAAAGAAAAACAAAAAAAAAAAAAATACACACAAAGAGAGAAAAAAAGCAAACTCAAGAAATAAGCAACAACAACTGTTTGGATTCTCACGAGGATAGAATTTCAACAAGTGCCAAAAACTTAATTTTTACAAAACAAAATAAAACAACATCGCCAACAATAACAATAACAACAATAACAGAATCAACACCAATAGCAAAAACAATATTGAAAAATAAAAGGTCGTTTATGTCCATGTTACCTTTAGAAAAAGTTTCTCAATTCATTCAATTTTGAAATGAAATGTTTATTTAAAATTTCCTAATATTAAGGAACAATAAGAAAAGCAAATAATAAACAATGGAAGACTAGCTTCCTTAACCGATAGCCGATGCTGCAGCAACGAAATCTCCTCCATGGTAATTATGAATTATTAAATAAGAATTATAATCGATTTTTATTGCCTTCTAAAAAAGCGATTTTATTAACAAAAAAATACAAGAATACAAAATATACAACAAAAAATTCCAACATTAACAACTAATAGCTAAATCCAATACACAAGCCGTACATATATATAAACATGCCAAGTGACATAAAAAAAAGAGTTTTTTTTTTTTTTTTTTTTTTTTTTTAAACAACCCTTCTTGATAATATTTAGAAAAAAATTTATTTAACAAAAACAAAACAAAAATTGTGGATCCACAGTTTACTTACTAACTGTGTGTGTGTGTGTGTGTGTGTGTGTGTATGCATATAAATCATGATGATGATGATGATGATGATGATGATGATGATGAGTCTGACAATAATGACAAATATAACCAAAGGCTATATACATGTGAATGAAACGTATTCGCGTCTTTCGCTTTACGTACAAATGCACCCACTACGACGACAAACAAAAACAAAGAAATTATCAACGCAACCATTCAGTTTACAAACATTCATAAATATGACTGAATGTAATTCTTTATTGTGTACTGTATATATATATATATATATATATATATATATATATGTATGTATGTGTGTGCGGGTGTTTTGTGCGTTGCTGCATACAACTGTCAAATCGGTATTGACGAAAAGAAGGACATTGACAATGATAGCGATGGCATTAGTGATGATGATGACGACGACGATGACGGCGATGACTTTGTTGTCTAGGAAAAATAGATTTTTAATACGACTACAGACAACCAGCCAGCCAGCCAGCCAGCCAGTCAGTGAGACATCCAAACATCCAACCAATCGTTATTTAAAAAAAAAAAAAAAAATCTTACGTAAGAGCAGCCAAGGTTTTAACCATCATTCCGGTTGTACTGTTTTCTTCTTTCAAGTCCTGAAAAAATAGCCTTAAGTCTTACGTGAAATTTCTGGAAAGGAAAAGGAAAGAGAAAGAGCGAAAAAAAAGAGTGAAGTCTAATACTCTTGTATTCCGTTCCTTGAATTGGTTTTATGTTGTGTTTGCATTTTGATAACCAAAGTCGATAATGTTTAATCACTGGATTACATGAAATCACGTTGCATGAATTCACTCTCTCTTTCCTCTCTGTCTTGTTGTCTGTCTCTTCGACGGTAATTTCAAATGCCAACCAAGCGACAGACCGTCCGACTATCTCTGCTCCTGCCTCCAACTCCTTTTGGCTTTATTGATTTTTCTGTTATGCATTTCTGTATTTCTTTGAACCGTTTAACCTTCACTTCATAACTTTGGCAATTAGTTTCTGTATGAGTTTAAAGTTTCTCTGTTGTGTGCTGATTTAATCGAAGTCTCATTACTTCCGGCATTTATACAGGATTCAAAAATCATAAAACAAATATAAAAACCATTTTTTCTTTTTTTTTTTTTCGCTTTTCTTTTTTCAATGTGTGCAACTTCTTTTATGTGCAGCAGACTAATTTGCCAAAAACTTTACCTAAATACATCCCAAAAACTAACTCATATACAACTTACTCTAATGCTTATAATATAATAACAACAGTAACAAAAAACATAAAGACCCCAGGTTTTCTTCTTTTTTTTTTTTGGCAATATTTTGCAGTTCGACCTCCCACTAATAGCTTGAAAAATCTAGCAACGCTTATCGATAAACGACGATAAACTAAAAACATTTAAATCCTTAACTTTGTAGAACACAAAAAAGGGAGCCACTTGGAAACTCCTATAAATTGTAGCATTTGTTTAGGTTTTTTGTATATAGTTACACATCCGAGCCAGCACACACCACCATCGCCATCGCCATCGCCACCGTCACCGTCACCGTCACCGTCACCGTTACCGTTACCGTCACATCTCAAACCTGTTCCGAAAAAGTTGTTACGTATTAATTTGACTAAATTTAACTCGTAATTACTTTAAAAGTAAAATTAATGACGGTTTCTCCCAAAAAGAACAAAAACAAAAAAAACAAAAAAATGAATAAATAAATAAAAAATGAATGAAACGAAAAAAGAAAACTATTACTATTACAAGCAATGTAACAGTAGTTTAGAGCGAGCAAGAATGAGAGACTGAGACGACAATTGCTATTAGATTTATAACAATTTCAATACACAATATGTTACTAATATGTGTTGTTTTTGTTATTCTTGTGGTTTTTGCTTTCACTTTAAGCAGCAAAAGTAATAAACGGCGAGAAAGAGAAGAAAAAAAAAAAAAAAAAAGGAGAAGAAGAGTCATTTTATAAATAGAACTGAAAAACAAAATTCAGTCCTTTCCTACACACTTACATGCGTGTAGGCGATATTAGGCAATGTGGGCACAAACAAAGAGGATTTCAAAGACAACCCCACAGAATTTAATGGTCAAAGAGTTTCGTATAATATTTATGGTTTTCTACTTAAAAAGGGTTAATTGCGGGATATTTGTGCGTATCCTTGATAAAATTTAGTTTCCCAACTCGTAGTATTTCTCTTTTTAATTTTCACAAACGGTACCATTAATGCAAAATGTTTTTTAATTATTTTATATATACTTATGTATGTTTTCCTTCTCTATTTTTCTTTTTGCACTGCTCTGTTCTGCTCTGTTTTTCTTAGAGAGCTACTCTTGCTGAAAAGGAAGTTAACACACTCAAGGAACAGTTATCCACAAATATTCCCAATACAGACGTTTGTACCGACAGCGCCGAGCACAGCAGCGATTTAACTGCGATAGTGGCAACAGCAACATCACCTCTCCTATCAACTACAGCAGTAGCAGCAGCAGCAGCAGCAGCTGCATCAGCAACAACAATAACAACACCAACAACAACTGTAATTGATAATAATAGTAGTTTGGATAGATCGACAACAATAAACCCACCAAACACCCATTTGTCACCAACAATTTTAAGCCATAATAACGTTAACACTCATAATAGTAACAGCAATAAATTGTTGAATACGGTTGCCGCTGCTATAACGCTTCAACAGAACGGCGGTAATCTATTAGCCACCACACCATCCCCATCGCCGCCGCTTTCCATTACTAGTTCACCTACAGCGTCCCAGCATACCACCACAAGTCAACTCAAAGGTTGCCTGAATCCTAAATTGTTCTTCAATCACGCTCAACAAGTAATGATGATGGAAGCTGCTGCTGCCGCGGCAGCTGCTGCGGCCGCTGCGGCTGCCGTGCAACAGCAACAATCCCCTATGCATTCACCCCAACCCGCAACTCAAGACGATAATGAACATGAAGATTCAACCGTCCCACAGAATATTATGAACAAAGACGGCGATAATTTTAATGTCACTACCACCGCTGCTACAATAAGTGATACTACCATCAATGTTTTTGCATCCGCAACAGCAAATGATAGCCGCAACGTGCCACAGGAAATAGGAGACCAACATAGCAATGGCAATAAAATCGACCGCGATGTTGATAGAATACTTGCAAATAGAACTGATAATGAAAATTACTTATGTTGCAATATAAGCAATAGCAATACCAACGGCAACAACAACAACAACAACAACAACAACAACAACAACAGTAACAATAGTAACAACAACAACAATAATAATAATAATAACGGGATGAATAGCTGCAGCAGCAATACGATTAATAAGATCAATAATAGCGATAATTCTGCAATGAGTACAAACGAGAGCCATACAGAAAATATAGCAAATCTGAGCAAAGAAAGCGAAGCAATTCTCTCGGAGGATTATAACGAAAAGGAAGAACAGCTATGTCCAGTTAAGAATATCAATCTGAGTCCTTCTGAATTATTAGCTGCCAAAGATAAAGAGGTTAGTATTTAACTCTGATATAAGTTTTACTCTTAAATCACACATCCATACATACATACATACATACATTCATACATACATACACACACACACACACACACACACACACACACACACACAATCATTATTGCATTGATGTGGCATTCGCAAGAGTACACAGACTGAAAATTATAGTAAAGCATAGGAATTATAGATAAGTTCATTTTGTATTTGCTTTTTTTTTGCAATCTCTCGAGCAACTAATGTGCTTAAGTAGAGTGTACTCCACGCAACGAAATCCGCAATCTATTCATATTATCCAATTTCAGGTCAGACGTAGAAAGCAATGGGGTGTAAATGCGTTAAGATAGACCACAGACATTACTGGGGATACTCAAACTCATAGCCCAGTCTAAAAGATGCACTCATCGTCGCAGGTCGCAAACACATTTCGCAAAACATACGAAAATGCTTTCCAGCCCTAGAAGAAAATAATATACAGCTGAAGAGAAAGAAACAAAAAAGGATCCCTTTTTTTATATTTTAAGGGTTTTTTCCCTTTTTTGTTTTCAAAAAAAATATTACCAAAAACAACAACAACAATGATAACAACAACCAAATAGAAAAAAAACATTTTTAAATCCTTAACTGAAGGAAATTGTTTATTGTTTATCGGGATGTGTGTGCTGCGATTGTTCTGATTCCCTCGTTTGTTGACTCTGTTATCAACTTTATGACATTACTTTGACAAATAATTTTTTACGCCTTCAATTGTAGTCGAATAAAAACTTTCCTCGCTTGTCACGAAGCGAGCAAAATACTTTAAGATATTTGTTTGAAAAGGCCCTCCTCCTCTACCAAATTATATAGTTGAATGTCAAATTTAAAGAAAATAAAAGTCAAATTAAAAGTTTTCATCATTTTATACCTATTACTATCGAACAATGAAAGTATCCTAGATTTCTCATATCGGTTGTAACATTAACAAAAATTAACGCATCGATAACGTCAGAAACTATAATCCATATGATCCCTTGATATGAAGAAGAAGAAGAAGAAGAAGAAGAATACACAAAATCTGACCATAAGCTCTATCCATTCAATCGTCCATCATGTTTTGGATTAGATTATGCCTACATGTCGACGATCTGCCCTTGAATACACTTATCATGCAAGAAAGCAGAAGATGAGGGATATTGTTGCCTAATGGCAACTTTGTACAAATCATTTACCAAGCCCATGTAAAAATTCAATGCGAAAGTGCTCCCGATCCCCTAAACGCCAAACTTATAATCCATAGAAAACCTTAGCATTTATTGAGATACTGTGTATTTAGGCAAATCGTTTATTGTAGCAAATGTTGCACCTAAACAGGTTGCACGCATGGAATTAGGAATGTCGAAAAAAAACAATTACCTAATATATGCTTATACATGCATATATGTATACGATTACATATCTACACCAGAGTTTGTAAGCCTTCTCGCTCTTTGAGTCTCATAACACAGCAAAGCAGTTTAAGGAAATAGAGGAAAGCGTCTCCATAGACAGCGACAAGAGCAGGTCACATATGTGGCTTGAGTTGCTGACCTCAACAAGTACACAACATTTAACAAATATGTATGGTGAAGCGAAAAAACCGTATCGTATTTTAAACATCCGATTAGGGTAAATTGATTTGATGGTGACTGTTTCGTATAAAAACCTTTTCTTTCTAGAAGCCTTTGATACGAAGAGTTCCTAAAAGCAAAAGGAGAAAACAAAAATAAGCTAAAATACTAGAGTCATGCAAAGTCGATTATTAAATACCCTGCACAAGCTCACTTAATGTTATGCTTCACGTATTTCCGTTAATTATTATATCTATTTTCCCATCGAAACGCTTAGTGCTCATGGGAGTCTTTGAGAATAAGTGAAGAATTTCGGAAAACTAACTTATACAGTCAAAACTTATTGCAGTCAATTTTGCTACAGGACTATCATAAAATAATAAAAATTACATCTTGGCGCATACGTAAGAATATTTATACGGTAGGGGTTCAAAAGAAGCGCTCCATTCTATCGAAAATACTATTTTCGATCGATTTGCATCGAAAAACGACAGCGCTATAGTGATGTGCTTTAAATGATTCAGAAAGTAATTCCGAATTGATTGACAATAATAATCAATTCAGGCACCATGAGATAGATTCCTTTGAGATGTTCAATACGTCCGTCCGTACGTGTATTGCAGGAAAACAAATATAATCGAATACCGAATCTTGAGATAGGGCCTTCGTTATGAAATTTTTTCGTATGCGTTTCCAAGAAGATGATATATCAGAGATCATATCAACAATATGTTATATAACACATTGTTCTGCTTTTCGTTTCGAACCCTTTATTTATATTGCAGCAAAATATCATATCGTATAAGCGCATAATAATTATAATTTTTGTAGAAAGCGCTTTTCGGTTGCGCTACGAGCGATTAGTGGAGCTACAAAAAGAGAGTGTGATAAGTCTAATACAACTTGTCTGTCGTTCTGTTTGAATGAAAGCGTTTTCATCCGTTTTTCATGAATAATAATTCATAATTTCTATAATATATGATATATCACATGAGTTACATTGTATATGATATACGATGTATGTATGTATGTATGTATGTATGATATATATTGTTTAATTAGATATATTTTTAAAATTTTTCTCATTGAAAGCCATCCCAATCCCAGCCCCGGTGTGTCATTGCAAAGTGGACTTTCAAGATGTTCTTAGTATAATATTTTTCAATTATTTGAATATCATTTCAAATATATTTTCTTTATTTTCTTAAACGCTCTCCCTTCGTCTCTCTTCCTCTCTGTGTCGGTCTTCCGTATATTATAGGTATTAGTAAATAATTCATGTTTCAAAATCAATTTTCTTAAAAGCATTTTCATCATCTTCTTCTGTCATAATTCTGTACATTGTTTATTGCCTTTAAACCAGACTGAATTGAAATTGAAAATGGCTTTTAAAAATTTCTTTTTTGTATATTCTATCTGGCGGGAAGAGCATTGCCATAATTACAATAGCACCCTATTTATTCGGCATCCCATACATATACACATACATACATACATACATACATACATACATACATACATACGTACATATAAAAATACAAATCCATATGAATTTATGTTTTTATGTAAATATACCTATCACGTAAAGCACTCTTGAATGCAGAAATATATTTATTTATTTCTATTATTCTGATTATCATTATTATTATTATTATTATTATTATTATCACCAGTATTTATTCAGATTTGCAAAATAGCTTTTAATGGATTTTTATCCTCGAACAGGGCAAATCAAACAAACCGGCAAAAAATGCATTCAATACTTCAAAAAGGCTTCATTCTACTTTACTTCAGTAGGAAAATAAAAATGAAAATATAAAAAAAAAATATTTAAAGAGACACAACTGAAATGAGAAATTGACTCATATATCATACGATGAGACAAACAGACAATCGAATATGTGATATGTTGCGTGGAACTTTCGCTGGCTACGCTCGCTTAGTGCATCAAAACAATTACGGATTCTTTGCTGTAAAGGGGAACTGAAGTCAGGTTTCGAAGAACGCAAGAAACGCATAAGAACTCTTGCTTGTAGAGCTTGTTTTTTTTTTTTTTTTTTTTCTTTTAGAAAATAAAGAAAGTGAATGAATGTATGAATGCATAAACACAATGTATGTGTGCACTTAAAAGACATTGCTTCATTGTCTGCGGATGGATGATTAATGCTATTAATGCGTAAAAGCCTAACAGTACAGGATCTCTGTAACTTCGGAAAGGAAGGAAATTGCATTTCAATTATTTTCGCGATTAGTTACTTATGGTTTTAAGGTCGATCTTTGCCTTCCTTTAGGACAATCATGACGGTACAATATTCAACTACGAATGCGTCTCACTTTTAATCTTAATTTTTCTAACACCGATCGGCCATCGATGCAGATCGTTTGATCGACTCAGAATTCCAAGCTAGTGTAGTCCCTTTTCTTTATTATGAATTCACATAATATATTCTCGATAAGAATTGCTGACTTATATATATATATATATATATATATAGAAATATGCCTGCAATTAGTTTTCCACTTTTTGAAAGTTTAAAGTTCAATGAGTGAGCAATTTGTCAATCGCTTTATGCGGACAAATAACGAAACTGATCCGCTTCCTCTTAAGAAATTTTCTCGTTTATTGTCTTGGTGTAGAGACTAATGCTATTTATATGTCCATGGCTGTATATCTTGAATTAATTATGTTATGTATTATGTATGATCTCTTAGCGCTAGTTACGTAATAATAGCTTCATTGTATTATTAACTATGCTTTTCGAGCATTCTACCTTAACTATGTTATTTCTCGGCTACGACATTGTCTGACTATGGATGTTATGTCCATTCCCTGTATTTCATACTCTGAATATGGGTACATTTTTGCGGATTGCAATTGTATAATACAATGTTTTACACATGAATACAATGTTTCTTAGGAGCTTAGGAGAAATGTAACCCGATTAATGCATAAATAGCTAAACTATGATAACAATTCCTTTATATATGTTTACATGTATATCTAGTGTAATTCATTTCATCAATTTTTTCCTATTCCTTTTTAACGGGATGTTGAGCGCCGTTTTCGTCCTCATAAAAAATCTGCATAATAAAGCGAGCGCCTGTGCATTTCTCATCGAACATTCGTTTTCTTCAGCTTTGCAAATGGAAAAATTACTTAAAAGCAAACAGTGAGCAAGCAATGAGAGTCAAAAGATTTACTCAAAATATCTCTATAAAAAAAAAAAAAAAAAAAAAAAAAAAAAAAAAAAAAAAAA